CCCTTGTGGTTGACATGGTTTCGCTCCACGAGTGCTCCAAATAAACTCTCAATGATGCCATCTGGAACTCCAGTGCACGTGGGAAGTATTAGACCATGCACTTCTGATTCTTCATCAGTTATCAGCTCATTTCCTGTCATATGCAATTGCAGCAGTCCACCCCTGACTTTTGCCACCTGACCTGAATACGGTCGAGGTCTTTAACAGCTTTCCGCCGGACTACAACCGCTCGGTGCTTTGGTTCCGATGGCTGGCGCACGACGCCTTCACCAAGTACGGCTCGATTGTGCCGCCCAAAGCAACTTCTGACAAGATCAAGACCTTCACCATGCACTCTCCTCGGGTGACCATGCTTGACGCTGCAGTTCACCAAGGCCGAACGCCTCAGGAGATCGGGCTCCAAGCCAACTGGAAGGATCCAGGTCCTATGGTCCTCAAGTATACCCGCAATCGCTCCACGATACCTGCGGTGATGATGCAGCAGCTCGTTGCGGACTTGAAGGACGCGTTCGCGCCCAAGTGTGTCTCCAAGGACGACCTTGTGGATGAAGGAGACGACGATCTTCTGCCCATCGCAGAGTTCTTTCTTAAAATACCTGACGGCTCGGCGTCTAGCTACGAGTACAAGTACCACTGCTCGTCCAAGACAGACTATCAGATCGTGGCGTGCGGTAGGCTGTCTGCCGATGAGTGTGTGCATGTAGGACACTTGCTCCCGGATCCGGGCCTACTTTGCAAGCATTGTGCTAAGGCTAGGCCGGATGTTTCTCTCATGTTCAGTAATTGACTGTCTGCTCGACTTAAAAGCTGGCTTTCAAATCCGCGCAGTCTTTTGTCGGCTGCTCTTGTCTTCACTTGGCTTCTTGAGTTTCAACTTGGCTCCTGTAGGGCGCTCTGCCTCATTGTGCTTTGTAGCCTGCTCGGCACTTTGGAGATGGTGGATAAGACCTCCTACACAGGCGTGGTGCCTGATCTGGCGGTTCGTCAAATTTTTGGCAGGCAAAAGCTCCCTGAGAACCTGTGCTTGCTCATGGCTGACTCCTCCCTGCTCTCGATCGAGAGGATCGCGATGTTGGGGGACACCATCTCCCAGGCCAAGACTACGCTCAAGGCCATCGTCAACGATGATGCAAAATTTGGAGCGGACAACGCCGCTCGCGAGTTGTCCCTCACCTTGTTGGCGGCAGTCTGGAAAGCATCGGCAGCCCTTCAGGACCATACGGCCGCTCGGCGAGCCAAAATGGAAGAAAGCAAGATCCCGGAAATCCCAGGCGAAGACCACGCCCACGCCGAGTTCCGGGAGACGTTCGTCTCTGCGCACCACCTATATGCGGGAGCCTCATCGCAAGTTTGTGGAGCAGATCTACCGCGACTACATGGTGCACGGCTCCGTCAGCTACTACGAGGTGGCCGAGATGCGCACACGCAGCGATCGACTGGTCCAGACCACGGGCTTCAGCAAGACCTCCGAGGATCTGCTCAAGGTGGTCCAGCACGACAACTAGGCTGCGATCGCGGCGGAGTCTGACGTCTTGGATCGCTTGCGTGCGTTCTGCGTGGCCCTCGAGTACCTGAACATC